TCCAAGGGGCACACAGAGCTCAGATGGTGCCTGGTATGGGGTTTGTACCATCCATAGGGCACACACAGCTCAGATGGTGCCTGGTACAGGGTTTGTACCACCCATGGGGCACACACAGCTCACAGTGGTGCTTGGGAGAGGGTCTGCACCATCCATGAAGCACAGAGAGCTCACAGTGGTGCCTGGTACAGGTTTTGCACCATCCATAGAGCACACACAGCTGAGATGGTGCCTGGTACAGGTTTTGCACCACCCATGGGGCACACACAGCTCACAGTGATGCCTGGTACAGGGTTTGTACCATCCATGGGGCACACACAGCTCACAGTGGTGCTTGGCAGAGGTTTTGCACCATCCATGGGGCACACAGAGCTCACAGTGGTGCCTGGTACAGGTTTTGCACCATCCATAGGGCACACACTGCTGCAGGCACCAATCCCATCCTTCCCCCTCAGATCTCCCCACCACCACAGCCCCAAACTCCCCCGCTGGCAGCCCCTGCCAGCCCCTTGGTGCCCCCTGGCAGCCCCAGCAGGGCACATGGCACTCACCAGGTGGTGCATCAGCCCCTTGCTGCCCTGCGAGGTGATGACTCGCAGGTCGGGCTTGCGGCTGTTGGGGGCCAGCTGCGCCCCCGTGTGCCCCCGGGGGCGGAGGGGACTTGGCCGGGATGATCTTGCCCAGGCTGCTGCCGTTGGACACGGGCAGGAGCCCCGGAGAGGCCCTGGCACTCACGTAGCCGTTTCCTGCAGTGGGAAAAATGTGTGGTTTACGGTTGGCTTTTGGCAAATACTAAAATAAATATGATAGGTGTTGTGTTAGAAAGTAATGCTGCATTAATTCTCTTAAGTAGTGTGTTAAATGTAGTTTTAGGTTATTAAAATTGTTAAAATACAAACTATGCTGTGTAGGATACTTTTTTAAAGTAAGGACTTGCAGTGAGATAGCAGCCACAGGACACATCAGTCTTTCAGAGAAAATGAATTTATTGCCCATTATCAGAAGAAATGAACTTCTTCCCGCCTCAAATGCGCTGTTAGGACTCGGAGGAAGAAGTTCACAATGACCAGACAGAATCCTGTATTTGAATAGAATTTATGCATCATGTATGAGGTGTATGAATATGCAACAGGCTGTTTTTTTTAAGAGTTAATCCTTTCTTAACATGTGTCCTTCTTCAGGCTCGTGATGCCCAGAAAAAGGTACCC